ATTTGTATGCCGCCCATCTCCCCCAACGGGTGACTCTGGGCGGCTCAACGTTGCTCTTTGTGCACTGCCTAAAGACCTTTTAAGTCCCGGCAGTTTAGAAAATTTACAAATAAATACATAAATAAGGGAGGAACATAGAAGCTTAGGCCAAAATGTAAAGCGATAAAATTATTTTTAAAAGAAGAACCGCTGCCCACTTTATATCACTGCCCCCCGATTCTTCCAGAGAAGGTGCTTACAGGCCCCCCGTTCCCTCCCCTCCCCAACCCCACCTGGTTCTCCCACCCCTGCACTGTAGTGAGAGCCGTTACCCACAATGCCCATTGGTTGGCTAGACCTGGGGCTGTGAGAAACTGGGCGGGTCAGAATGTCAGGGGGTGCATTTGCATATTGGAACCCCGCCCCTGTTTGTGATCTTCCTAGTGGCCCTGCTTGACGGGTGCTCCTGGGCAGGCTGGCCATGCTGGCCGGTGCGTCAGGAGGCCATGCTCCACCTCAGTTGCCATTGCCATTGCCGCCTCTGTGTTCCCTACAGGCGCACCGGCAGCAACATTAGTGGGACCAGCGAGGGTCGTTCTGAAGACTGGAACTTGGATGATAGCGTGAGTATCGCCAGCGCCTGGGGAGTCAGGGCTCAGTTCCTCTCTCTGTGGGGCAACCTCGTGTAGCGGTCTGGCCACCTAGGAGCTGGGCTGCTGGGAGAATCAGCCTCTCATTTCTCATTCTGGGTGGGAGGTGATTGTGTGTGTTCGGGGGTGCGGGGATATAAGTATAAGTAATCTTTATTGTCGTTGTACTTCTCGTACAACAAAATTAAATGCCACCCCAGTGCAGCTTTAAAAATATAAAAACCATAGAACACATAAAACACACCTTCACATTCCATTCACCATTGCACAACCCCTGATGCTGCATTAATACTGCACTATACAGTAGAGTTCAGTAGAGTTACAGCTCTGAAATAAAAGCTATTCAAATAGATAATGTGCAGCTGAACGTGTCTCCAGTCTCCGGACACCCTGTTGCATCCTTCTGCGAAGGCTGCCTTGCTCTGGTTGGTTCTGAGTGTGGGTATCTCGCTCCCGTTGCTTCGTTCACTGTTTGACTCTGTTGTTTAATTTGTCCTCTTGTGTTTTCAGTCTGTCCTCTTGGGTTGTTCCCGCTCCTCTGTCCACTGTTCATGTTTGGGGGCCTGCTAGCCCTCGGAATAGCTAATGCATAGAGGGTGGGTTCGTGCAACTTGATAAACTCTAAACCCAGACTGCTCAATGCTAAGAGCAAGTAATAAGCAAGGTTATTTCTATTCACACAACCTGCCCAAACATATGATGGCTTAACATGATGGCCTGGTTCACAGAACATAATAAGACAGCGATGGGTTCTCACAGTACATTCAACTCCAAATTACCCAGCCTCACTTCAGCTCAGCTTAGCATGTTGTAGGAATCCAACCATTAAATCCTGGCAAATTCAAATAGTAATGGGGACAACTGGGGGCCTTCCAGAATCCAGTCCTATTTGTGCATTGCTATCTTCTCGCTGTCATCTTCTGGACCAAATGCTGAGCTGGGGCAACTAGCGCGTTGCAGAGTGTACTGGACAGGATATCTCTCCAAGAATCCAGAAGGGAATTATCTAGGGGCACGCAAAACTTTCCACGCACCAAATAGCTTTGGTGTGGAGGACAGCTGGGCAAAGGCCAGGCTGTTGGTGGCTGTGCGGATGTAAGGAGCTGGGAAGGTTGGGTGTGTGTGTGTGCCAAGTGTACTGCACTTGAATTCAAGCTCAGTGGCTAAAGGGAAGGAAGGTGCAGAGAAGATTGATGAGCAGGTGGGCTGGAACACAGGGGGAGGGCAGAAAGGGACAAGGGGCACCAGCCATGCCGTATTTGCCCATTACACCCTTCCAGACTTTGATTTGGACAAAACCAGGATCCAAAATGTTCTGGTATCTGTCAGACCAAACCATCATCCCACCCAGAATGGTTTGGCTGAACCATAGTATGTGTCAGGTTCAACCCAAAGAACTCCACGAGACAGTGCAAATACAGTTCTGTTGCATTTATTAGCTTCCACCTCAAGACAGAAATCTCTCCAGACTGAACCTAAGTTCCCAAGCCAGCAGCCACAAATCCGCGAATTCCTTAAGGGGGGGGCAGGCTCATTTTT